GCAGCAAAGCATCAAAACAGCAAAGCAGCCAGGCAGGGAAGCTCAGCTGTGAGGATCCCTTAGCCAGGGAGGAGGGGTTTGTGCCAGGGTGGCAACCTGGTGGCCAAACAGGTGAAGCAGCTTCTCAGGAAACTCCTGCCCTGGCACTGGAAAGGAGAAACTAGGGGTGAGCAACAGCTTTTGTCTCTGGAGGTTCCTGGGGTGGAAGGGGACAGCCCCACACAAGGGACAGTCACTCACCTGGAGTCACAGAGATCCTTCAGCAGCTCCTGCCTCCATCCCAGCTCTCCAAGAGCTGCCACCAGGGCAGAGCTGCACACAGGGCACAGCCAATGGGGACACCTGGGGACAGAAACGGGGGACAACTGACCCCAAAAAGGGGCTCAGTGAGATGAGCGAGGAGCCCAGAGCCAGCCCACATAGCAGTGACCATGGGACACCTGCACAGAGGGGACAGACGGGGGGCTGTGACACAGCAGTGACAGGGCAGGGGCACAGCAGTGACAGGGCAGTGACAGGACAGTGGCACAGCAGTGACACAGCAGTGGCAGGACAGCCATATGTGACCCCCCAGCCCGGGCAGGGCTCTCCCACCTCACCCATTGCCAGCTCAGCCCTGCAGCAGCTCCAGGTCACCTCCTCATCTCACTCCTTGCAGCAGCCAGGACCTGCCCTTTGATTTATTTCAGCACTGACAGCGATTCAAAAGTGTTGGAAGTGCAATTTTTCACCAGGGACTAAAAATAGCTCAGTGAAATTCCAGAGCTGCCTCCAGCGCCCCGGCCGGGCGGGACAATGGCATTTGTAACCCACGAGTGACAACGGCACAGGCCGAGCTCCAGCTCCCGAAATAACAACTCAGAAAGGGCAAATTCTGGCTTTAATTACAGCCAGACAAAAAGGAGGTTTAGCAGAGCATTATCAGAATATCTGAGCTGCTGGAAACAGAGTGGGGAATGCTGAGGGAGAGGGGTGGCCTCACCCCAAATTTCAGCTATTCCCGAGGGGGGGCACACACAGCCGGTGCTTTCAGAGGAGCTGAAGCTTTTGGCACAAGGGAAAATCCCTTCAGGCTCCACAAGGAGCTGATGATGCAGGACAAGGAGCCTCCAGCCCCCATCCAAACCCTGTGCACACAGGGATGGGGACTCTGAGCCTCCCCAGCACACACAGGAACAGCTCCATGTGACATCCTGGAAGTGACTCTTTTCTCTCACTTCCAGATAATCAAGATTGGATCTCTTCTGGGGAAATAATTATTCCCCAGCAGAAAGCCACCCATCCTGCCCAGCTTCCAAACCTGCTGGAAGTGCCCAAACACTGAAATCCCTTCCCAATCCCAGCAGCAATGCCATGTGCTGGAGGCTCCTGGATGGGAACCTGCCAGGTGATGCCCACCTTTAGAGGGCAGGGAGAACCCACCTGATGCTCTGCAATATTCGGTGTGAAAAAAGACACTTGTGGATACAGAGCAACCCCAGTGCACCTGGAACAAAAGCAGAGCTGCTTTCTGAAGGGTGAAAGGGACCCAGTGACCTGATCCTGGCAGCTGAAAGGAAGGAAAATCACACCACGTTCCTCTCCAGGGGCCTCATCCTTCCATGGATGCTGCTGGGAGAGTTCCAGGTGCCAGGGGCACCCAGCACACCCAGGGCAGCTGTGCTCTCATTGACAGTGCAGGGGAAGGGCCAGGAACCAGCCAGGATCCATGAGGAAGGAAAGGGCAGAGGAAGGAAAGGGCAGAGGAAGGAAAGAGAAGAGGAAGGAAAGGGCAGAGGAAGGAAAGGGCAGAGGAAGGAAAGAGCAGAGGAAGGGAAGAGGAGAGGAAGGAAGGGGCAGAGGAAGGAAAGAGAAGCTCCCAAGCACGGCTGTGACAGCAGAGGAGAGCTCTGGGCATCCCCCACAGCAGCCAGGCCTCGCTGCTCCTGCTTCCTCTTGGAATGCACAGCTGGAAAGCAGAAACCAGGCTTGGTGCTGCCAGTAAAGGGTCAGCTGAGAAATATTTGGGATTTTATTAAACAATGCACACCCACGTGCCTGGCTGCACCAAGTGGGGAGACTGCAGGAGCAGCTTCCCCTGACTGCACCAACTTAAGGGATCATTTTTGTATTTTTAATTTAGTGCTGAGCTCAGCTCGATGCCTTTACCTACACCACGAGCTGAACAACATCACTTTTGTGTACCTGGGTCACAGACAGTGTGAGATTTGTGCATCATTTTCATGTCTCCTCCAGCAGAAACCTCCCATGTCCAAAATTTGGGAATCCAGAGAAGGGAGAACAAGCCAGGCTGTCCCTCCTGCCACAGCTGAGAGCAGATTGTGTGAGGCAGAGCACAAACGTGGAAATCTCAGCCAGCAATAACTGCACAAGCCCGAGTGTGACAGCCAGGGGCCAAGAGCCTCACACCCAGATCCTGCTGCTCCCCTGGAAGGTGGAGGCTCAGGGAATCTCAGCCCAGCAACACCTGCTGAGGGCATTGAAAACATCCTTTAAAAGGCCTGAGAGCAATGATGTCCCTCCCAAACTGCCTGCCCAGCTGGGGGCCGGCCAGGGACACTCCTGGGTTGGCCACAGGAGAAGCCACAGCTCAGGGCAGCCCAGGGAGCCAGGACACTTCTGAATGGGTTGAACTGGCCCCAAGAGGCAGAGCAGGAAGACATTTCTTAAAAAGCTTTCTAAAAAAACTCCCTGGGGCTCTGGGATGGGGATGTCAAGGGCAGGGTGCTGCAGGCTGTCCTTGCTCTGCCTCAGGTGTTCAGGTACCCCAGGTAACACTCTGAGCACCTGCCCTTGGCCTTTGGAATCTTTCCTGGATTTCTCCCTCCTTCTCAGTTTTAAGTCCAGCTTTAAGCTCCAGCGTCAAAGAGCAACTGAGTGTGCTGGAGAGACACAGAATCATGGAATCACTGAGATTGGAAAATCCCTCCCAGCTCATCGAGTCCCAGCTGTGCCCATCCCCACCTTGTCCCCAGAGCACTCGGTGCCACCTCCAGGTGACACCTCCAGGGATGGGGATCCAACCCTCCCTGGGCAGTTCCAGTCCCTGACCACCCTTTCCATGGGGAAATTTTCCCTAAAATCCACCCTGAGCTCCCCTGGCCCAGCCTGAGGCCGTTCCCTTTCCTCCTGTCCCTGTTCCCTGTTCCCAGATCCCAAATCCCCCCGGCTGTCCCCTCCTGTCAGGGAGTTGTGCAGAGCCACAAGGGCCCCCCTGAGCCTCCTTTTCTCCAGGCTGAGCCCCTTCCCAGCTCCCTCAGGGATTCTCCAGCCCCTTCCCAGCTCCCTCAGGGATTCTCCAGCCCCATTCCCTGCCCTGGACACATCCCAGCCCCTCGCTGTCCTTGCTGAGGGGCCAGAACCGGGCACAGCCCTCAGGGGCCTCAGCACAGGGGGAAAGATCCAGAAACACAAACTGAGCTGTGAAAGAGCTGCCTCTGAAGCTGGCACGGAGCTGAGAGCAAAAAGCAGGAATTTCCTGGACTAGAGAAAATAAACCAGGAGTCTGTACTATATTCTTAAATATGGTTTAATACTCTTCTCCATTTCTGTACATCACAACACCAAGATATCACTGCTTGGGATCTCTCTGCAGAGGCTATATAGTATGCAAAGGCTAGGATCTCCCACCCCACTGAGTGTGTTTGCATGTGTAAGTGTAATACATATCAGTATATATTGATATACACATCAATATATAATGCAATATATATCACTGAAGAGAACACATTGATTAAAGAAATACAAAAATTTGGCATCATTTCCAAACTTAAATAGTAAAAATAAAAACTACAAAAAGGAGCTGCATACCCTAATGTATCATGTGAAACAACAAGCAGTATATTCAAAAATGTAAATTTACATCCAATTTTTGTGGTCTTGTCATGTCACATTAGACCCATTTACAATGGCAAAATCCAGAACATACTGCTGTGAGGGCCAGGGCTGTGACCCAGCCCCAGCTCCAGGGGGAGATTCCAGCTCGGATGTGAGGATGGCAGCAGAGCTGCTGGCCAGGTCAGGGACCAGGGGACAAAAGGTATTGCTCACAAGGACAGGAATTTTGGACCTCAAACAACAGCATGGCAGAAATTTGAAGAGAAGCTCCCTCTGTTCAAGTGAACCAGGAAAAGAGGCAAAGGTTTGCAGCTGGAACAGGAGCTGCTCCTGAGGGAAGCACCGGGAGAGCCCCCAGGGAGGGAGCAGGAGCTGAGCTGAGCCCTGCAGTGTCACTATTCCCCTGGGACAGGATCTGAGCCCTGCAGTGTCACTGTTCCCTTGGGACAGGACCTGAGCTGTCACTGTTCCCTTGGGACAGGAGCTGAGCCCTGCAGTGTCCCTGTTCCCCTGGGACAGGAGCTGTCCTTGTCACTGTTCCCTTGGGACAGAAGCTGCCCTTGTGTCCCTGCTCCCCTGGGACAGGACCTGAGCTGTCCCTGCTCCCCTGGGACAGGAGCCATCCTTTGTGTCCCTGCTGCCCTGGGACAGGAGCTGTCCTTTGTGTCCCTGCTGCCCTGGGACAGGAGCTGTCCTTTGTGTCCCTGTTCCTTTGGGACAGGAGCTGTCCCTGTGTCCCTGCTGCCCTGGCCTGCACAGCCCCTGACCCCCAGAGTGTCACAGCAGGCTGGTGACAGCCCAAGGCCACAGGCCAAGGATGAGCTCCCTGGTGTGTGGGTGCTCTGTGGAGCAGGCAGGACACAAGGCCTGGGATCCCTGGGCAGTTTGGGATCAGGCACAGGGGATCCTTTACCCCCAAAGGACACATCCCCACAGCACAGACACTGCTGGGAGCTGGCTGCTCCCAGGGCTGTGCCAGAGCTCCACGGATCAGAATCAAACTCTCCACACTCCCAGCACTAATCCAGCCTCCACTGACTCGGTATTCCTGTCAAACACCCACTTCCATTAAAGACCTGTGGGCTCAAATTCACATCATCAAGGAAACCTTACGCAGTCCTAAAGCAAAAAGAAAAACTTACTGAGGAACAAAAAGCCAAGTGTACCTTACTTCACTGAAATCTCATGTTTATTTTTGTCAAGACTGAAAAAAAAATAAATTCCTGAAGGCTGCACTGCTCCAATCCAAATTAAGCCCAAGACTCCAGCAGCATTTTCATTGCAATCCATGAAGTGCATTTCCTAGTTTGTAAGAGCAGTGTTTCTGCAAATAGATTAAAGCACGTTTGGCTGGTGAGCCTCCCCAAACCATCAGAATTTGCAAGCCACATGTAATGAACCAGCACTCAGGTCAGTGCCTCCTCAAGCTTTTGAAGAGAATTATGGCTCCAACCTCGTTCCATTTCTTCTGCAGGCTAAGCTGAGAATGCCATGTAAATGGGTCACGCTGCCAAATGCAGCAATTGATTTCTCCAATCAAAGTATAAAGAAACAAACCAGTAGGATCTTACTTCTATTAATTTTGGAAGGAAGAGGTTTACAGCAGTTAATGTATCATGAAGGTTAAAAAAATCATTTCCATAAAATACAAGAGCAACCAATTTCACCATTGAGTAAAAGTAAAAACTGGGATTCTTTTTAAATTAGTCCAAAGTGGCATATAGGAACTTAGTAGTTTGCTGCTGTACTGACACTATGACAAATCAAAGTGTAGGGTTTTGCTTTCTTAAATCCAAATGCTCGTGGATCAAGTTCTGGAAATGTTCCAATTCTAAGGCAGGGATCTGTTGTGTTTTCCACCATGAGTTTGCTCCTTGGGTTGGATGCTGGAGGGGCGAGGCACGTGTTGCCAGACCCAGCTCGACTACCTAGTAGTCATCAAGGTCAAAAAATTCATCGTCTCCTCCTTGGTATTCCATGCCCTGGAAATCCACCCGGTACCGCAAGATACCTGCCAAAGAAAGAGCCTTTAACTTCCCCAGCACCCCAGACATGGCCAAAGAAAGAGCCTTNCAAATCCCCCCGGCTGTCCCCTCCTGTCAGGGAGTTGTGCAGAGCCACAAGGGCCCCCCTGAGCCTCCTTTTCTCCAGGCTGAGCCCCTTCCCAGCTCCCTCAGGGATTCTCCAGCCCCTTCCCAGCTCCCTCAGGGATTCTCCAGCCCCTTCCCAGCTCCCTCAGCCTCTCCTGGGGCTCCAGCCCCATTCCCTGCCCTGGACACATCCCAGCCCCTCGCTGTCCTTGCTGAGGGGCCAGAACCGGGCACAGCCCTCAGGGGCCTCAGCACAGGGGGAAAGATCCAGAAACACAAACTGAGCTGTGAAAGAGCTGCCTCTGAAGCTGGCACGGAGCTGAGAGCAAAAAGCAGGAATTTCCTGGACTAGAGAAAATAAACCAGGAGTCTGTACTATATTCTTAAATATGGTTTAATACTCTTCTCCATTTCTGTACATCACAACACCAAGATATCACTGCTTGGGATCTCTCTGCAGAGGCTATATAGTATGCAAAGGCTAGGATCTCCCACCCCACTGAGTGTGTTTGCATGTGTAAGTGTAATACATATCAGTATATATTGATATACACATCAATATATAATGCAATATATATCACTGAAGAGAACACATTGATTAAAGAAATACAAAAATTTGGCATCATTTCCAAACTTAAATAGTAAAAATAAAAACTACAAAAAGGAGCTGCATACCCTAATGTATCATGTGAAACAACAAGCAGTATATTCAAAAATGTAAATTTACATCCAATTTTTGTGGTCTTGTCATGTCACATTAGACCCATTTACAATGGCAAAATCCAGAACATACTGCTGTGAGGGCCAGGGCTGTGACCCAGCCCCAGCTCCAGGGGGAGATTCCAGCTCGGATGTGAGGATGGCAGCAGAGCTGCTGGCCAGGTCAGGGACCAGGGGACAAAAGGTATTGCTCACAAGGACAGGAATTTTGGACCTCAAACAACAGCATGGCAGAAATTTGAAGAGAAGCTCCCTCTGTTCAAGTGAACCAGGAAAAGAGGCAAAGGTTTGCAGCTGGAACAGGAGCTGCTCCTGAGGGAAGCACCGGGAGAGCCCCCAGGGAGGGAGCAGGAGCTGAGCTGAGCCCTGCAGTGTCACTATTCCCCTGGGACAGGATCTGAGCCCTGCAGTGTCACTGTTCCCTTGGGACAGGACCTGAGCTGTCACTGTTCCCTTGGGACAGGAGCTGAGCCCTGCAGTGTCCCTGTTCCCCTGGGACAGGAGCTGTCCTTGTCACTGTTCCCTTGGGACAGAAGCTGCCCTTGTGTCCCTGCTCCCCTGGGACAGGACCTGAGCTGTCCCTGCTCCCCTGGGACAGGAGCCATCCTTTGTGTCCCTGCTGCCCTGGGACAGGAGCTGTCCTTTGTGTCCCTGCTGCCCTGGGACAGGAGCTGTCCTTTGTGTCCCTGTTCCTTTGGGACAGGAGCTGTCCCTGTGTCCCTGCTGCCCTGGCCTGCACAGCCCCTGACCCCCAGAGTGTCACAGCAGGCTGGTGACAGCCCAAGGCCACAGGCCAAGGATGAGCTCCCTGGTGTGTGGGTGCTCTGTGGAGCAGGCAGGACACAAGGCCTGGGATCCCTGGGCAGTTTGGGATCAGGCACAGGGGATCCTTTACCCCCAAAGGACACATCCCCACAGCACAGACACTGCTGGGAGCTGGCTGCTCCCAGGGCTGTGCCAGAGCTCCACGGATCAGAATCAAACTCTCCACACTCCCAGCACTAATCCAGCCTCCACTGACTCGGTATTCCTGTCAAACACCCACTTCCATTAAAGACCTGTGGGCTCAAATTCACATCATCAAGGAAACCTTACGCAGTCCTAAAGCAAAAAGAAAAACTTACTGAGGAACAAAAAGCCAAGTGTACCTTACTTCACTGAAATCTCATGTTTATTTTTGTCAAGACTGAAAAAAAAATAAATTCCTGAAGGCTGCACTGCTCCAATCCAAATTAAGCCCAAGACTCCAGCAGCATTTTCATTGCAATCCATGAAGTGCATTTCCTAGTTTGTAAGAGCAGTGTTTCTGCAAATAGATTAAAGCACGTTTGGCTGGTGAGCCTCCCCAAACCATCAGAATTTGCAAGCCACATGTAATGAACCAGCACTCAGGTCAGTGCCTCCTCAAGCTTTTGAAGAGAATTATGGCTCCAACCTCGTTCCATTTCTTCTGCAGGCTAAGCTGAGAATGCCATGTAAATGGGTCACGCTGCCAAATGCAGCAATTGATTTCTCCAATCAAAGTATAAAGAAACAAACCAGTAGGATCTTACTTCTATTAATTTTGGAAGGAAGAGGTTTACAGCAGTTAATGTATCATGAAGGTTAAAAAAATCATTTCCATAAAATACAAGAGCAACCAATTTCACCATTGAGTAAAAGTAAAAACTGGGATTCTTTTTAAATTAGTCCAAAGTGGCATATAGGAACTTAGTAGTTTGCTGCTGTACTGACACTATGACAAATCAAAGTGTAGGGTTTTGCTTTCTTAAATCCAAATGCTCGTGGATCAAGTTCTGGAAATGTTCCAATTCTAAGGCAGGGATCTGTTGTGTTTTCCACCATGAGTTTGCTCCTTGGGTTGGATGCTGGAGGGGCGAGGCACGTGTTGCCAGACCCAGCTCGACTACCTAGTAGTCATCAAGGTCAAAAAATTCATCGTCTCCTCCTTGGTATTCCATGCCCTGGAAATCCACCCGGTACCGCAAGATACCTGCCAAAGAAAGAGCCTTTAACTTCCCCAGCACCCCAGACATGGCCAAAGAAAGAGCCTT